AAAAAGAACAGAAAGTAAAGAAGAGAGGGGAAGAATGGGAAAAGGACAGAAGTAGGAGAGAGAAGGGGAAGGGATGGGAGCAGCAAGGAAACACAGAAGAAAGGCAGAACCCCAGGGCTTCCCTCAAGCTCCACCATGGCCATCCTCTCCAGAGGTCACCACATTCTTACTTCTATCATTTGTTGTCTACTTCTATTTAGTTTTTACTTCTATTATGTAGTAGAGCTGTTGACCTAACCCAGGGCTTCAGGCCTGGCCCAGGTATAGCACTGAATTATATCCCCAAATCTGAGGATTAGATAACTATGTAATGAACTTTCTTCTTTTTATTGTTTTTATTGAGCTATACATTTTCTCCATTCCCCTCCCTTCCTCCCCTCTCTCCTTTTACTCTCTCCTGTGACGCCGGCCCTTCAATTTACTCAGGAGATCTTGTCTTTATCACCTTCCTATGTAGATCCATGTATGTCTCTCTTAGGTCCTCTTTGCTGTCTAGTTTCTCTGGGATTGTGAACTGTAGACTGACTTTTCTTTGCATTATATGTAAAAGCCACTTATGAGTGAATACATATTATATTTGTCTTTCTGGATATGGGTTACCTTATTCAATACGGTTTTTTCTAGATCCATCTATTTGCCTGCAAACTTTAAGATGTCAGTATTTCTTACCATTGAGTTAATGTACATTTTCTTTATCCATTCTTCAGTAGAGGGGCATCTAGGTTGTTCCCAGGTTCTGGCTATTACAAAAAATGGTGCTATGAACATAATTGAGCACATGTCTTTGTGATATGATTGAGCATCTTTTAAGAAAGAAATTGATAAAGGCACCAGTAAATGGAAAGATCTCCCATACTCTTGGGTAGGTAGAATTAACATAGTAAATGGCAATTTTACCAAAATATATCTACAGATTCAATGTATTTAAACATCCCAGCAAAGTTCTTCACAGACCTCAAAAGAACAATACTTAACTTCATATGGAAAAGCAAAAAACCCAGGATAGCCAAAACAATCCTGTACAATAAAGGAACTTCTGACAACATCACAATCCTGGATTTCAAACTCTACAATAGACCTACAGTAATGAAAGTAGCCTGGTATTGGCATAAAAACAGACAGGAGGACCAGTGGAATCGAATTGAAGACCTGGATACAAACACCTGATTTTTTATAAAGACGTTAAAAATATAAAATGGAAAAAAGAAAGCATATTCAACAAATGGTGCTGGCAGAACTGAATTTCAACATGTAGAAGAATGAAAATAGATCCATATCGATTGCCATGCACAAAAATCAAGTCCAAATGGATCAACCACACTGAACCTCATAGAAGAGGAAATGGGAAATACACTTGAACACACTGGCACAGGAAACCACTTCCTAAATATAACCCAAGTAGCACAGACACTGAGAGCAATAATTAATGAGTGGTACCTCCTGAAATTGAGAAGCTTCTGAAATCAATTTTCTAGTTGATTCTCTTCACCCCAACTCTATTCTGGCTTTACTCTAAACCTAAGTGTTTCTGTGACACCTGCCTTATACTTATGGGGCACCTGGAGACTCCTGGACCAACAACTCACAAGGAGATATCCCACACCTGTGCCACGATTTTTTTTAAGAACCCATAACTCTGGGAGCAGCGTTATTCCCTCATTTTTTAAGTATTTTTGTTTAATTGGCTTACAAAATTGTAAATTTCCACATGACTTTTTCACACAGATCTAGTTTCAGATGAACTTCCCTCCACCCCTCACCTCCTTCCTCCTCCCTTACCCCCAAGTAACCCTTTCTCTGCCAGCGTGCCCTCTTTATTTTCATATAACACGCATTTACTGCCCCTCCCCAGCAATGGTGTTTTTCACTCTGCCTGGCTCTGATCCAAACACACAAATGTAAAAATTTCCAGATAGAACCACCATTTGAGAGAGAACATTTGTCTTCCCAGGCCTGTATTACCTCACTTGGCATGGTATTCTCCAGTTCCATTTATTTTTCTACAAATTTCATTTTCTTTACAACTGAATAAAATTCTATCACATACATGTATTGGAAGGAGGGAGCTGCATGTTGTTTCCCAGCTGCCCGGCTAGCTTAGACCTGAAATAATTACACAGAAACAGTATTAATTAAATCACTGCTTGGCCCGTCAGCTCTAGCTTCTTATTGCCTAATTCTTATATCTTAATTTAACCCATTTCTATTAATCTATATATCGCCACATGGCTGTGGCATACCGGGTAAAGTTTCCAGCATCTGTCTGGGGCAGCTCCATGGTTTTTCTCTGACCCTGCCCTTCTTCCTCCCAGAATACAGCCTAGCTTTCCCCACCAAGTTCTGGTCTTCCCTGCCATAGGCTCAAAGCAGTTCTTTATTCATTAACAAATAAAAGCAACACATAGACAGAAGGACCTCGCACACCATACATGTACTGAAGTGACTAAGGCAAAGCCATCTTGTCCTATGTCCATTTTGTCAGCTCAGACACTTCTCAGCCCCCTTCCCCACAACAGTGATGTCTGCCTTAGAAACACATTTGGGATTCCCATGACCACTGTGACCCAAATGTGTTAAGCTAAATAATTAGTGATATAAAAACATAAACAAAAACAACCAAAGAAGTATAAGTCAAAAGTGATTGTATTGCTGTGTCTGAAATAACTATGCTCTATCAAAACAAATCATGCAAGGTAACTTTGCCTCTCATCCAGTATCAGTGAAAGTATATGCTTTGCCCTGAAAATGCTGTACCTCTGACCTTCTGCACTAAGGTGCTTGAGGCATGAGCATGCTGTTAGTCATGTCCAAAACTAAAGGACTTTATAAGCTTGATTGTCTATATTAGTGTGGTGATCTGTATCTTCCTGCATGGATTTATTATAGTGCCACATTTCCATTATATTCATCACCAGCGCCATCTAACACTGGACATCTGGGTTATTTACTCTATTATGACTAGAGCAGCAATGAACACAGATAGGCAAGTATCTCTGTAATAGGAGACAGAGTCCTCTGGATACATGTGTGGGAAAAAACCCTCACCAGCTACACCCTTGACAAGGGAAATAATAACCAAAAGACAAAAAAATAAACCTGAAAACATCAAGAATGAAATGACACAATAAAAATAGGCTGTGGAACTAAGCAGAGAGCTCTCAATCAACAGGGATAGGTGATGGCAGTACTGGCGCCCTTGGGGGCCAGCAAAGGAAGTCAGATCCCCTGAAGCTGGAGTCACAGGGATTTGCGAGCTGCCCCATGTGGATGCTGTGAAATGAGCTTCTCTGGAAGAACGGTCAGTGCATTCTTGACCCCTGAGACATGTCTGAGCTGTCCACCTCGCATTTACCCATGGATTCTCTTACACTCTGTACTATCATTTCTCTTTGAATGCAGTTTCCTCTTACTTTGCAACTAAATAAATGTAATGTTAAAAGATGGCATGCACAAATTATATTGACTGCACGTAGAAATAATATTTTGATATATTGGGTTAGATAAGATGTGTTATATGATATATAAATTATTTTGATTAAAAGCCTCAAAGGAAAAACATCATTAAGGTGCCAACACTTTGCTTCCTGGTAATCAAGTCCTCATCTTAGCTATCTTCTGAAAGCTTCTGCTGTTTCTAGAAGCAGAAATGCCGTCAAGCAATAGTGCATTTTCCTTTATGACCCATTTAAAATGCAAACATACTGTTTTCCCGGCATCCTTTATAAAACCTGAAAGACTAGTACATAAAGAAATACATGTGTCCCTTCAACTTTTGATTCCAATTTGCTCTCCAGAGATGAAACCAAAGGATCGGGTGTCCCATTAATCTTCCGGAGGCAGTTGATCTGTGCTCCTGTGCATTTGCATGGCATAGGAGCATCTCTAATACCAATCACACCATAACATGGAGTTCCCACTTTATTTTATAAGAAATCTTTAAGCTGAATTTACGTTAGTATACAGGAAGCTTGACTGACATTTGTTTCTTGGCTATATAGTAACCCAGGATCAAGACATTAAAATTTGTTACCAATCCTATTCAATGATGCTTATGTAGTTTCCAAATTTATCACCATTACAACACTATCTGTTGTAGAAAGAGTGGGCTGCGTCCTGGCTTAACCTCTGAAATAACCACACAGAAAATTTTAACAATTAAATTACTGCCTGGCCCATTATATCTAGCCTCTTCTTGGCTAACTTTCACATCCTGATCTAACCCATTTCCACCAATCTGTGTATCACCATGAGGCCATGGCTTACTGGGAAAGATTCTAACCAGCATCGGTCTCAGGCAGGAGATTCATGGCGTCTGCCACACTGCCTTTCTTCCCAGAATTTAGTTTGGTCTACTCCACCTATCTAAGTTCTGCCCTATCAAAAGGCCAAAGCAGTTTCTTTATTACACCAATGAGAGCAACACATAGACAGAAGAACCTCCTACACCAACTATCGATGACAAAATACCCCCAACAAAAGCAACTTAAGAAAAAAAAAAAAGGTTTGTTCGGGCTCATGGCTGCAAATGATATATTTAGCATGGTAGAGAAGGCATGCAGAAAGAACTGGGGGCTGGTTGATCACATGGCATCCCATCAGTATGTCACAAGTGATAGACGTTAGTGTCCAGCTTTCTTTTACTTTGTAACTAGGTCCCAAGTCCAGAGGGATGGTGCTACCCACCCATGGGGTAGGTTTCCTAACATAGTAACCTGAGATGATGCCCCCACAAGCTAACCTAGATGAGATGGTCTTCAGGGTGCAGATGAGCTTGTGTTCTAGGTGATTCTATACCCAGTCAAGTTGGCCAACAGTAACTGTCACAGTATACAATGACTAATCACATCACTTTCATACGAATGGTTTCAAAATTTGTCCCCTAAAAGCAAACATTGTGCAAACGTGTGTACGCATGTTCTATGCACTGCAGGTGAGGCATAGATGTCCTCTAATCCACACTCTTCTGTTTAGTTGGCTGAATGAAAATGAAAACATGAAGCTTCAAAGAAAGACAAAGTATATATTTAAGGATCATCATTTCATCCAAAGAAGACTTTTTTAAAAAAGATTTAAATAAATCCTATTTAAATGATGACGTAAGGTCATTTATAATGTCCATGATGAAGAAAAAGGGACCACAGATTGCTTTAGCAAATTCTTTTAGAATAGTCTCTAAAATGGAACCACTGTTTTCCTTCATATCTTTGAGGTTAGATCTCAATTGCTCTATTTCTCCACTCATTTCCTCAGATTTCTTCTTAAATCCTTCTTCAAGCAAAGCCTTTTGATCCTAAAACAGTGAAGATGAAAAAGAAGTAAATACTGTTAAACGCAAACATGGCGCCAATTATAATTTCAAATCTATAGCGAGTGGTCCTTACTGTACCCCTAAGTGATTTCCTTTACCATGAAAAAGATACTCTGAGTCAGACCTACACATTTTGAGGGAAGATAGTTGAAACTTCACTGATGTTGGTCCATCGTGTTTTGGCTGCAATGCTGGCAGAGGCGTGAAGATATTTCTACATTCATGCCCACCGAAAGGCCACTGGTTGAATTGTGCAGAGCTCGATCTATGGACACAGTGAGGCAACCATCTCATGAAGACAGTGGCAACCTATCAGTTGCTGCTTTACTTGCAGATAGGCAATGAGAAAATCACTCCACTGCCTTGTGCTGCTTCAAGCAGACTGTCAACCCTGGAGACAGCTACAGGACCTGCAGAAGCTGCCAATTCCCTGCGTTTTTCTGTCTGGACACGTCTTTCAATTTTCTGCCAGCATAGATCATGCCCAGACTTGAGGGGGGCGTGTCAGGAGCCTGATACTCTGGCCCTTGATAACAAGACTCATTGCAAGCCTTAGTAAATTGCCTGGTTGGGAGTTTGTTTAGTGAGTTCCCATGAGGTCATTTTTAAATATCCTAAATTGGTAAATCAAACTAGTACAGTTATAAAATAAAAAACTAAAGGAGCAACTGAAAACCTGAAGGAAGACCTCCTTAGCAACAATACTTTTAGGTGTTCCTCTCAGAACCTGGCTACAAACTTTCCCTGCCACTTAGGGTATGAGGATCACCACAGTGATGAGGAGTCCCACCTGCAGCTGCTTCTCCAGCATCTTTTCCTGGTCTCTAATGAGCTGCTTTCTCTCCTGCACCAGCTTCGTTCTCAGTTGTTCGAGGTTTTCCTTGTGACTTCTCTCTTGAGCCTCCATTAGTTGCCGCTGCTCCTCCTTCTGCTGTCTTAGCAGCTCCTGTTCCTTCTCTGCTGCCTCCTTCTGGGCCCGCTCCTCTGTCCCAGGAACATTCAGGGAGGGAAGAAAGTGATGGGTCAGGTAAAATGTCTACATTCCAGAACCCAGAGAGCAATTCAGACCTGAAAGGAAACCACAGACTCCACACTGGTCCACACAATGGAGAGAGTGTTTCTGGAGGGGATGGAGGAAACCCTGCCCACCTGGCTGAAACACAGACTGACTTCCTGTTGCTCTAGGAGTGAGCATCCACAGAAGGGTAGAGAGCTGCTAACAAGGGGATGGGCTAACTGCGACTTCTATCAGGAAGCCTTGTGGGAACCTGACCCCTCCTGAAAGCCAAGAGACATGCTCCTGTACCTTCAATGGCCTTCTCCCCAGCAGTGAGGGCTGTATCTGCCTGCAGGATGGAACTCTCGATGGTGGCCTGTGACTTCAGAAATCTCTGGAAGACTTCACTTGCCTGCAAGACCAAGAAGGAGCAAAGACCTTGATGGATCCTGGGAGAGAACCTGTGTGAGTTAACATGGTCTCCACTGTGCCTCACTGTTAAAATGCTACGGTGAAGCCTGCAGTCTGCCCATGCTCTTCACTGGCAATAGATATTCTGGGTCCTTGGCTTCCCCAGTCATCTCACTAGAGCCAGCTGCTACCTCCTGCTCCCAGATCCGGCCGGTTCACATCAAATGCACATGTGCTCAGTGCAACCTATGATGCTTTCAAATATGGTACCCCATGTAAAATGCTACATAATTATGTGGGCTTCACTTCCTTCTGCTTTGAGGTAGGAAGTTTCTGTATATGTGTCTTCTGCTTTTTATTCGTTAATGAATAAAGAAACTGCCCTGGCCTGTTGATAGGACAGAGTAGAACTAGGTGGGGAAAACTATACTGAATGCAGGGAAAAAGAAGGCAGAGTGGAGAGAAGCCATGTAGCCCCCCCCGCCCCGAAGACAGATGCCTGAACTTTACCCAGTAAGCCACAGCCTCATGACAATAGACAGATTAATGGAGATAGGTTAAATTAAGATATGAGAGTTAACCAGAAATAAGCTTAAACTCTTGGCCAAACAGTATTGCAATTAATATAGTTTCTGTGATTATTTTGGAGCTGAGCAGCAGGGAACAAAACAAGCAGCCTCCATACAATACTGCTCTTGCTGGATGTATTTATGGTCAAGTCCCTCTATCTGCCAGGGCATCATGGTACAGATGTGTAAACTCTCTCAGTAGTGGGGGGGGGCATCACCCAAAGCATTGTAGATAACTAAAGAAAGGACTAAAAAGAACCCACTATGGTGTCATTGGCAACAACTGAGTAATATGTTAGCTGTGTTCTTAGATTTATTAGCACTCCATAGGTAGCTCATCCTGACGGACTCAGAATTTTTATGTATTTCCAAGAATTAACAGTAAATTGCAGTCATTTTGAGCCAAGCATGGTTCTGGTGATGGGGCTTGAAGGTAAAGCAATTAATTCCTTACATCGCAAAGGCCTGGTTTTGGTTGCCAACACTAACATGAAGCTAAAGATGCCATGCTATCCTCATTTTTTCTTATGCAGTGCTGTGTGCTCATGTTTTATGACATGTTTCCTGTGTTCTGAGCCCTATGCTCCCTTCTCCTCACCCCTCCCCTATGCTTCCAACTCCTCACCCCTTCCCCATGCTCCCTACTCCTCACCCCTTCCCCATGCTCCCTACTTCTCACCTTCTCCCCTTTTCGGGGCACCTGCCAATAGTTATCCTCAATCTTCTTCCTCATTTTCATGTAGAGCCTGTGTCCTCCAGGAACAAAAAATGTTGGAATGTTTTCTATAAAAGTCTTTGAAAGCCGATTGAGTTCTTCCTGGCAGTATTGATCTGATGCTTCTTCATTCTTCGATATGAACATCCTTTTCTTCTCATCTATTAATTCCTACAAGAGAAATGGGCAGAGATCTGACACGTTGAAGGAATAGAAGAGATAAAGTTCCAAGAAAGTTTATAGAAGAGTCAGCCTATTTCTCACAAGAAAGTATTGTAGTGTAATAAGACCACAAGAGAATGTGAAATGCTAACGCCTGAATTAAGATTCTACGAAATCTGTACAAGGCTACAGTAAATGTTCTTGAAGTTCTTAGCCCTTAAAACCTTCTGGAAAAGGATGGCTCTTCACCTACAATCTCTGGATCCATGTGGGAGTCACATCCTGTAATTCCATCTTCAATGATATAACAAGGAGCAATAGAAGAGCAGTGACCTGCAATGGGACTCTTGTGAGAAACTGTTTCATAGGAACATAATAATAAAGCAAGTTCAGGGATGACTTATAGGTGTTCTGGGCAGGATTGCAATCCACAAACATTAACTGCCTGAAGGACTTAAGAAACTATTTACTCATTATTACAATCATTAGAGATTTCTGGATAAAAGCACCTAAAGTCTGGCAAGGGGACATGAGTCTTTCACAACTGTGTTCACAATGAACACACACAAAGTGCCCATCTTAGAATGAGTCACATAACCGGGGTCAATGAAGGCACAGCAACACTACAGCCTTGAACGGACACAGGTGTTACAGTTAATGACACTTACCAACAGCTTCTTCTGGAATTGCTGGTTTTCGTCCTTGAAGGAGTGCTCCATGAAGACAGCAATGGCTTCCTTCTCACAGGCTGTGTGCACACCCAGCAGCTCCTGGAGCGTGTCTGTAGGGAGCCTCAGTCGCTGGCCCATCTGCTCACTGTAGTGCTCAGCTGCCTTCTGCACAGCTGCTGAGTTCTCACGCTGGGCCAGAGTTGTCACCGCATCGTCCAGACAGGGCACAGCTCCACTGTTGATGGCATCCACGTAGGTCGTCACCAGAGTCCCCAGTCCTTCACGAACCAGGAGTTTTAGGGGATACGTATGAAGTTATAAGTGAATGGGATCCAAGATTTTAAGACTACATTTCTAATCTCCCACAACTACACATGCACACTTGCAAATATAAACACTATAAAAATCACTCACGACTCCCAGTGACCTTAATTCCCTCTCTGAGTGTCTTGATCTTTGCCTCGGTGAAGATGTAAGAAACAAAAGCCCTCATTTGTTCCTGGAACTTAGGATCCAGTTGGTCTTCTGAGATAGTCTCAATCTTGCATAACAGTTCTTTGTCATTTGTTGGCCGATCAAAGACAAAACACTTCCGTTTAGGGAAGAAACGTCTGATGCACTCCCTGGGCAGATTGGATGCTTGGATTCTGGTACTATTGCCTAGTATTAAAGGAAACACAAAGCAATGGGAATAGACTTAGAGCAGAGGGCAAATGATGAAGGCCCTTGTCTCTGTGAAGTGTTCTACACTCACAGGTCTCTACCATAAACGTGCAATACTTCTTTACAGGTCAAAAGTATACCAAGTTTGTACTTGGTAGACATCTGGTGAAATAGTTCAGGAGACATTTGACTCCACTGGGAAGATCATATGGTTGAAATCTACAGGCATGAACATGGCATCAAGCATACTGTTGTTGGAGGAGGGGCCTCTTGTTCTTCCTAGCTGCCCAGCTAGCTTAGTTCCTAAATAATCACACGGATATGGCATTAATCAAAACACTGCTTGGCCCACTAGCTCTAGCTTCTTATTGGCTAACTCTTACATCTTAATTTAACCCATTTCTAGTAAGCTGTGTATCACCACCACATCATGGCCTACCAGCAAAGTTTCAGCACATCTATCTCCGGTTGTGGCTCCAAGGCGTCTCTCTGACTCTGCCCTTCTTCCTCCCAGCATACGGCCTAACTTTCCCCACCTAGTTCTGTTCTTCCCTGCCATAGGCTCAAAGCAGTTCTTTATTCATTAACCAATAAAAGCAACACATAGACAGAAGGACCTCCCACACCACACTGTAGTTGTGTGCCCTGTTGACTGAACAGCAAAAGTTTTAATGTGATTTCTGGCCCAATTACTCCTTTGTAGCAAAGGAGCTGTTGTGACCCAAAAGAAAAGCCACAAATAAAGGATAATAGAGTATAAAAATTAGCAACATTAGCAATTCTAAGCACGAAGCTATGGTTACTGAAAACTACTTTGATGCTAAACTTCCCACAGGGCAGGATTCCCTGCCCTCTCTTAAGGAGGGAGGGAAGAGGAGGAGGGAGAGTGGGGGAGCAGGAGGGAAATGGGAGGAGGGGAGGAAGTGTAAATTTTTTGAATGGAAAAATAAAAATAAAAATGAGCAAAAACGATTCATTTTTGTAAACAGCAAATATACACTATAGAAAATAAACGTATCCTTCCCAGTTGGGGAGGGAAGGCAGGACTATGAACAAGTATAGGATACATAAGTCTATACATACATCTAGATATCAGATGTGCTACATTAACACATTATTTTATGAAACTGCTGTATTGAGGACTTTCTCCCATTCTGTCATGTGGCTAGGTGGGGTGTGTGCATGCATGTTTGCCTGTGTCTGGGTGTATGTGTGTGAGCACACATGCATGTGTCTGCATGTGGGTGCCAAATGTTGTCTTTAGAGTCCTCTACAGCCAGTCTTTCCTTATCCAATAAGGCAGGGTCTCTCAGGTCAAACTGGACTCTCCGGTGCAGTCTGTCTGGCTAGCCAGCATGCTCCACCACCGGCCTGTGCCCTCAGCCTGGGCACTGGACTCAAGGTAGACGTTCACACCCAGCCAGCATTTATGGAAGTTCTGGAGACCACACCTTCAGTCCTCGCACTTGGGTGACAAGGGCTTTAAGCACAAAGTTATCCCCCCGCCCCATGCACTAGGGATTTTTACTGAATCCATTTCAGCTGTTCATTCCAGGACGGTGAACCATGTGAGATGACAGCAGTGCCATCTGCTGCACTGGAGGAACCGCCTCAGTACCCACCTGTGTTCTACAACATCCAGGTACAATACTCAAGCAGAACAATAAATGTTTTCTGAAAATTGAATACAGAGCTGTTAACCTTCCCATCATAAGTTATATAAGAGGATCTCAATGAGTTTGAGGCTACCATGGCCTGTATACAACATTCTAGGCTAGCAAAATAATCTATATTGTGAGACCTTTTTTCAAAAAAAGAAGAAAGAAAATCAAACAAACAAATAAAAAAACAAAATTGTAAACAAAAAAGGAAGAAAGAGAAAAAAGAAATAATAACAAAAGAAGAAAGGGGAAAAGAAAAAAGGAAAGGAAAGCTGAGTGATAGCACATGTTTAATTCCGGTATGTGGAAGAAAGAGGCTGGAAACACTCAGTTCCAGGCCAGCCTAAACTCAGCTACATAGTGAACAACAGGCCCACTAAGGGCTACATTGTGATACCTTGATTAAAAATAAACAAAAGTAGATTATAGTGAAGGGATTCTGGCCAGTGAAGTGAGCATGGGTCTGGCAGGCCTTGCCTTTCCCCCATTCCCTCTTCCTTGTTAAAAATCTTGGATTGTATTCTTAGAGCTAGCCACCAAGGTCTAGTCCATTATTGGGCCACTTCCTCCTCCTGAGACCAACTACCAAGGTCCAGCCATGGATGTACTGAAGTACAACAATCAAAAGCCCCCTTTGGCTTACCTAGTTAACATGCCCAATTAAAATTAAACACCTCATCCTAACATGGAATTTCGCCTTTTATCTTTATAAACTGTCATTTAGCTGTGGGCCATGTCTGTCTCCACTTTGTCCAGAGGCAGGTTCTTCATCCTCTGGAACAAGGGTCACCTTCCCATCTCCTGTGATCCCTTCCCCTTCTCCCTCACCCACTATCTCCTGTGTTTGTCTCTTATGTCTCTCTGGGGCAAATAAATCTTTGGGATGAGAACTGGGCCATGGGGTGTCCAGGCCTGGATACTTTATTTCCTATGTAATTTCAGGACTGTGAGTACTGGTTTCACAGGCTGCTTTCCCACCTACTGTGTTTTTAATATTTTGAGTAAACAAAGACAGAAAAATGAAAGCAGTGAGCCAATCAGAACTGGCATTCCTCGCAGGCTTCAGACGCTCTACTCGGGCTAATAATGTCCGTGTAAATAGTTGACAAACCACTAATATTACTGATCCTGACACAGCGGCATGAACAAAAATAGAAGGCTGTGATAAATAAAGGCACATTCTGAGAAGGCACAGACTGAAGAGACACATCTGTCAGTTTACTTGGAACACAGATGTTTTGCATGCAACATAACCAACCCATCATTTAAAAACCTATGTTTCTCCATGAGAAGAACAATGTATAACTCTGTAAAAATTTATTTTGAGATGGGCTATGTATGATAAATTCATGGAAGAAATTATGTAGCCAAGTATTTCTTATAGGCAGGCAGACACAAAATCTAGCAATACAATCTCTGGATTTGGAGAAGTTTAGACGGTTTAGACTCTAGACCTTGAAGCCCTGACTTGGAATAACTTTCCTATGCCCTAAGGTCTACTTTTCTCAAAAGAAATTAAACTCCAGTTCCCAGGCATTATCAATCAATGGCCTATCGGCGTTTCTGCAGACCTCCATCCCACTGCCAATACAGAAGGACCCCACAAACAATGGGAGCAACTCAGCAGATCCCAGCCCTTCCCAGGCCCCCACCCCAACCCTCCCTCTACCTGGGATCAGCTTCAGTGCGTTCTCCAGGTACTCGTCCTCTGTGATGTTCTTTCCATCTAACTTCAGCTCCAGGGTAAAATCCCGAACAGTCCAGACAAAGTCTGGGAAGAAACTCACAAACTCTGTGGAATTCTTTATTCCATCAGTACTTGGGGAAGACTTTGTCTTGATCAGCTCAGTGAGTTCTGTGACGTAACTGGCACTGGGTTAAGGAAAAGTGAATTCACATGCACGTTCTCATGATACTCTTATTAAAAATAAATCACAATAAGCACTCTTTGCTGCCCTGGGTCTCCTCTGCCCACAAAAAGCCACACAGTGATAGGGCAGGTCTGTGCCTCTACATGTATTCCAGAACACTCCATGAAACATGGTGCCTCAGGTCCTGCAAGGATACTGCAGCTGCTCCAGGGCCTGGTGGTTGATCGTGCCCATGCTGTTGTAGACAAAGGTGCTGCTCAGAAGCACAGCCAGGGCAAAGATCCACGAGTCATTCATAGGATCAACCTGGAAGACATATGAGGGCAGAGGACTGAGAAAGAACTCCTCAGAAGTCCATCTGGGATGCCTTTGTGGCCATGTTTTGCTAGAAACTCTGGAGGGCAAAGCATGTGGAACAAGAGAGTGTGTTCTGGCTAGAGAAAGAACCCAAGATCAGCCTGAGAAACTTACTGGAACAAAACTCAAGTTCAAATGGATCAAAGACCTCAACATAGAGTATTTCTTAAGTAATAAAAGCAGAAGTCCTATATGATCCTGAGATCTTATTTTTATCCACAAGTTATGGTTAATCTTCATTGTCAATTGATGGAATTTTAAATCACCATGGAAACAAATCTCTGGACATTTCTATGAGGAGTTATCTAGATTGGGTTGCATAAAGACCTGTCCTAAACATGAATGGTACAGCTCCATCAGCTGGGTCTCAAGCTGAAGGAAAAGGAGGAACAGAACTGAACTCAGGCCTTCCTTTCCTCTGCTTCACAACTGTAGACGACATGTGACCAACAGTCTTTTGTTTCTGCTGTTCACTTGATGGGCTGTATCTCCTGAAACTGTGACAGAAGCAGGGAAGTAGATCAGATGATGCAAATACTGGAGAGTAAGAGAGATTCCAAGAGCCAGACTCATCCATGTTTCATGTGTCATTATTCAGAAGAATCAAAATGTTGAGTGACTGACTATAAATGTGTCTGAGTGACTGGATGGTAAAGACAACATGGATGCAGCAATACGAACGCAGCATTTAAAAAAGAGAGAAAGCCTGTCATTGGAGACAGTGTGTATAAACCTTAGATCAGTGTGCTAAATGACATCAGACAAATTTTAAAAATACAGTGTTACTAATGCCTTTCTGGAGTGAAATAGAAAACCTGGGAATTTAGACTCTGCTCTCATGTCTAAAACTAAGGGAAGAAATAAAAGGATGAATCAGCAAGCAAGATGACACAGGCTGGAAAGGCTCTTGCTGCGCAATCCCAACAGCTTATTTCAATTTCTATAACCCACATGAAGGTGGAAAGCACTGTAGCATGTGCCTACATGTGCGCGCGCGCGCACACACACACACACACACACACACGTGCGCGCGCCCACACCACGCATATTCATGCACCCACATACACCACATAACATCTCACATACAACAGCAACAATTTTTTTTTAATCACTCAGTTCACCTATTTAAGAAAGTCAAGTTCATCTAACTAGTTATTGTGGGACAAACAGGCCTTCACTGAACCTGCAGAGTCAGCTCTCTCAAGAACTTCCAGAATGCCATGTCGACAGTAGATAAATTTCACAATAAAAAGAAAATGTGAACCCAAGGAGCTGGATAGATGGCTCAGAGGAACGAACATTGGCTGCTGCTCCAGAGGACCACAGTTTTGTTCCCAACATCCACATCAGATCGCTTCTAACTTCTGTAACTCCAGCTCCAGGAATCCAAAGCCTCTGAACACCAAGGATGCCTGTACTCACATGCACATACCATAGGCAGACACACACACAACACACAATAAAAAAATATCTCCCAAATGTATAAACCTAACTCCTTAACTCCATCCTCAAGATCTATCTTTGGTATCTCAGAAGACAAGACAGAAGTCATTCTTCTTCATTCACTGGAATGGGCTGTTAGCCACCTTCTCATCAGTGTATCCTTCCACCTAACTGTTCCTAGTACGATATCATCAACCCTCTCATCAACGCATTCATCTGCCTACCTGTTTCTAGTATGATGTCACTGGCCTTCAAAAGCATCCATTCATTTACCTGCTCCTAGTATGATGTCATCCACCTTCTCATGGAAGCATCCTTTCGCCTAACACTTATAGCAGAAGTAGTGCTGGCTACCTGAGTTGCCTTTCAAAATGGAAGACCTTGTTCATCTAGCTATGGCAGTGCTGATGGGTAGCAGCTCTCATATGCCAAGCCTCCATATGACAAAGGCCTCCATGGAAGACTGACAGATGGGTAGGCACAAGAAATAAAGACTTTCACCCTTGACCCAACAAAGGCTTGTTCAAAAGTTCCAGCCCCAGCTCTCCTTGAAGTTCAGAGGTCAGAGGCTGCCCCGTGATGTCTTTTCCTCTCACCATCCTGCTTCTTTCTAGGTACTAGACTCTACCACAGTACACAGAGGTAGGATCCTCAATGAAACTAGGAGCATTCTTAAAAGAAAAACATTTTATTTTATTCACTAATATCTAACTACTATGCCTAGAATCCAGGAATTGAACTACTTGAATTGAATCAAATCATTCACCCAAATGGCAAGAAATAAAAACATGTTTCACCTAAAATAATAATATGATATCCAGGTGGTAGTGGCCCATGCCTTTAATCCCAGCACTTGGGAGGCAGAGGCAGGTGGATCTCTATGGGTTTGAGACCAGCCTGGTCTACAGATTGAGTTATAGGACAGGCTCCAAAGCCACACAGAGAAACCCTGTCGAAAGAAAGAAGGGAAGAAAGAAAGAAAGAAAGAAAGAAAGAAAGAAAGAAAGAAAGAAAGAAAGAGAGGTCTGACCTGATCTAAGAGTGAAATCTAAATAGAAGTAGGCAGATGTTTCTGTCCTGCAGGGTCCCAAAGCCCTTCAGTTCCAAAGTAACAAAGAGAAACTTATATTAATTATAAACTGTTTTTCCTATTAGCTCAGGCTTATTATTAACTAGCTCTTACAATTTAAATTAACCCATAATTCTTACCTATGTTTAGCCAGGTAGCTTGGTGCCTTGCTCAGTGCAGCATTCTCATCTGGCTTCCTCTCTATCTGAGTGGTGACTACAGACTGAGCCTTTTCTCTTCTCAGAATTCTGCTAGTCTGGTTACCCTGTCTATAATTCCTGTCTGGATACTGGCCAGCCAGCACGTTATTAAGCCAATAGGAGTGACAAATCTTTACAGGGTATGAGAGCATTATCCCACAGCAAAGGGATGAGTGTTTTACCTCACCTGCTATAGTTCAGTCTGTAGAACTAATAGACCTATTTATAAATAGATCAATTAGTTAGATAATTAGGGATCATAAGGGACAGCTTGAGCCTCATCCTACCTTTTCCACGTCACCCAAGCCCTCGGTGTCCAGAAGAACCAGGGTGTGCTTTGGCTTGGTGGGATGGGGCACACACCACATCCAGATGCCCTTGGTTTCAGACTGCACAGTGAAGCCCAGAGGGAAGCCTGAGGGAAGAAGTGAGGACTTAGGTTCAGTGTGTGAACATCCTGCACAGGTAGCCCTGTGTGCTCAAACATCAGTGTCTAGCAGCCAGCACCATTTTGAGGGATTCTGAAGGATTTAGGAATTGGAGTCTAGATGGTAGATACAGCAGCCAGATAAGTAATATTGGAAGTTATAACTGGGTCTCCAGGTTTCTTCCTCAGTCTCGGCCATCTGTCATCCATGTAGCTGCCACTGTAATCTCACTATGGTCTCAGGATCAATGACTCCAACAAGTGTCCAGACAAATTGATCTCCATTAGGTTATTCTCTCTGGTGTTTTAAATACAGCAATGAAAAAAGCAAAGAAGAGGACAAGACACACAAAATTGTCAGTATTTGAATCACGACACTAAAAACGGTGCTTCATCTTTCCTCAAGATGAGCTGTCTATAAAAAGACATTTAACATAAGAATTATGCCACACAAAAGCACCAAATAAAAACAGAGAGGCATCACAACTCTAAGAACATGGAGCACTCTGGTGGCTACAGTGAATGTGTTGAACGAGCCACAGTTGTACATGCCTGTCATTCCTGAAGGCAGGAGACAGAGGCAGGAGAATTGCCATTAGCTTGAGAGCAATTGAGGCTACATAGCTAGAACCAGATCAAACAACAAGACTGTCACAAAAAAGAAAAAGGTACTTCCTACAAATTGTGGGAAATGTCCGAGTTCCAACTCAGAGACACACAAGAAGAGAAAAAAAAAAACTAGAAAAAGAAATTGTTATAATAGTTTTGTATTCAAAGTTTTATTAATGAAAAGAAACAAAAACAAAAGTGCTGCTTTAAAAGGATATAAATTCCTTTTTAAGTTTTTTCAAGAGTTTTCATTTCTAAATAAACAATAATTAAGATTTACTTATTTCATTTTATGAATATTGGAATTGTGCCTACACGTATATAAGGGTACCATGTGCATGCCTCAAGCCAATAAAGGCCAAATATGGGCATCAAATCCTCTAGAGCTGGAATTAGAGAATGGAACCAAACCCTGCCCTCTGCGAGAGCAGCCTAGACCACCTATCCTACCCATGATTTTAAAGACTTAAGTATTCAAAGACATTTCTATCATGATAAAAATACTTTACTGAGAAAGGAAAACCTACTGTATGAGACAAGAGACTGACACACAGAATCCCATTGCTTTGGGCATCAGAAAAGGCCCTGTCTTGAAAATGCCCTGTCTTGAGCTCTCCTGGGAAAGATTTTCTTCAATGAAGTGGAAGGGAGAAAAAGGAATGCAGAAACCGATTATTGGGAAGCAGGAATTAATCATGCAAATTAGCATGAGAGGGTAGATTTGTTGAAAGGACTTTGGGCTTTCCTTTGTTACAGTTGGGAATCAGAATTAAGATAAAGGGACAATGACAGTCAAACCTTTGGCTAGTACCCGGAATGCCACTTACCATGATTCTGTCCTAACAGACGGTTCATCAGGTAGGACTTCCCTGTACGGTATAATCCAACAATAGCCACAACTACTACTGGCTGTGAGGTCTTGTTCAGAATCTCTATGGCTTTCTGGTTCACATACAGCCGATCCTTCTGGTTTTCCACCAGACAAATGGGAGCCATCATTTGGGATCCAATCATGGCAACTTGCCAACCTAGAAGAATCTGCAAGAAGAATCTGCAAAAAGAATACAAAGCCATTGTCTGCTTCAGTGTTACTCGAGTCCTAAGTGGCTCAGGACTGATGACATTTGCACATTTCCTATTGGCAGTGAATAGATACAGAGGAGGTCTCCACTTTCTTCATCATTCTTCAAAGTTCTAAAGAAGCTTTTGGTAAGACATGGGCTGCCATCATATGTAAGGTTTTACTTCAATAGTAAATACCAAACAACTGTTACCTTCATTAAGGTCTTCCAATATGCTAAGTCTTGTAATAAATCTTTAGTATGTGACCTCCCAAAATCTACATGAACCTACAATATTACAGATTACTGCACACTGCCAATAGGATAAGTGAATTTGCAAAACCTTAAACACTCAGCAAAATGGCAGAGCAGTGGGTTCTAAATCCTTGTTCCCTCTGTGAATGACTTTAAACTGGCTGAAAATATAGCAGAGCTTTGAAAGACACCCATAAATTACACAAACACTGAGACATTCCAATGAATAAATGATGTGAATTAAATGTGTATTTACTTGACTTTTCACAGCCTCACTCCACACCCCATCTGATACAGAGTCTGTCTACAGAAAGTAAAGAAGACCTTAATTGCAACCGACTAACCTGGGGCTAACCTGGTGTCTATTTTACCTAATTTGGATTTCGAGGAGGGATTATTTCTAGAACATGATATTAAAATTTCAATATGAGTGAATAAATAGAAAAAAATCCACATTTTAAAATTAAGAACTTATGTGCATCAAAGGATTTATAAAGGGTATAAAAGGCAGTCCAAGTGCTATGAGACAATGGTCTTTTATCCTGTCATATGTACTATTTTTAATAAAATGCTTATTGGGGGCTGGAGAGATAGCTCAGCAGTTAAGAGCATTGCCTGCTCTTCCAAAGGTCCTGAGTTCAATTCCCAGCAACCAAATGGTGGCTCACAACCATCTGTAATGAGGTCTGGTGCCCTCTTCTGGCCTGCAGGCATACACACAGACAGAACATTGTATATATATAATAAAATGCTTATTGGCCAGTATTAGCCAGGCAGGCAGTATAGGCAGGGCAAGCAGGAAGATGAGGCATGGCTATGAGAATTATCGGAAGAAGGAAGTTTCAGTCTGCAGTTGTGACCTAGATGCAGCGGATGCAAGATGTGACTCCCTCACCGAAAAAGGTACCAAACCATGTGGCTAACACAGACAAGAATTATGGGTTATAAGAGTTAATAAGAAGCCTGAGCTAATGGGCCAATCAGTTTATAACTAATGTAGGCCTCTGTGTGATTTCTTTAGGACTGCGGGAACCGGGCAAGACAAAAACCTCAGTCAACAGAATGGTACCCAACATGTAGACAACTGCATCCACATAAAACCAGAGAGAGCTCAGGAGTAATTCTAGACCCAAAATAACAGTGTTAATCATGACTTCTTGATAGCTCTGCTTCTTGATAGCTCTTGGGTGGGCTCTGCTTGCTAGAGGCAAGTGCTCTCATTTAAGAGAGGCTTCCTGACTCAGCTTTAGCTGCAAAACCTTCCAGCTCTTTTAAGAGGTCCTGCCACAAAACACTCAAATGGTGTTGATGAAAAGCTGACTGCATAAGTTTTGGTGGTTGCAGGGACCTTAAAATGTCATAGAGTTGTGGCAATAAACATGGCTCCAGCCAATACCTCCACCATGAGGCCAGGCTCTCAGAAAGCTAATAAATGGGGTAGATCCAGCTGTCTTGAACATAATTCTAAATTTTCGTTAGGTCCCCATGAGATTATCAGTGCCCCAAATCAACAGGAAGTAGCCTGAAAAACTATACCCACATTCCCAAAAATGGACTACAGATATTTTTCTTTGTTTAGAATGTTGGTTACAGGTTGTTATGGATAACAGTTAGGAGAAAAGCTAAACAAAGGAGATTAGGTTCAGAGTTCTTGTTTTCTTTAAAAAAAAAAAAAGAAAGAAAAAGAAAAAGGGGGGAAGTGCTGTGAGGCAATGGTCTTTTATCCTGTCACTTATTCTGCTTTTAATAAAAAACTGATTGGCCAGTAGCTAGGCAGGAAGTGTAGGCAGGGCAACCAAGAAGGAAGTTGAGGCATGACAACGAGAATTATGGAAAGAGGGAAGTTTCAGCCTATACTTGTGATCCAGATATGGCTCATTTAAGAGAGACTTCCTGACAGCTTTAGCTGCAAAAACTTTGCATCCCATTTAAGAAGTTCTGTCACAAAACACTTAAACGGTGTTTATAAATAGCCTACAGCATGCTTCTTCGTGGCAGCACAGGCCTTGAAACGCCATAGAGTTATGGCAATAAACATGGCTCCAGCCAGTACCTCTGCCAAGAGGCTAGACTCTCAAAAAAAAAAAAAAAAGCTAAAGAATGGGCACTGTCAAAGCGACAGCTTTAATCCTAGCCATATTACTTACCAAATTAAAGACTTGTGTGGTCAAAAAAAGAGAAATATAGTAAAGACAGTTTCAGACCAAAAAAAAAGCCTCTAAACGATTTAGAGTATATTTAAAAGTATACATAGGCTTGGAAAAGAAAAAAAGGATAAAGTCCTTAAAATTAAAAAAAAAAAAACAGAGCATAGTTGGGTGGTGGTGGCACACACCTTTAATCCTAGCACTTGGGAGGCAGAGACAGGTGGATCTCTGTGAGTTCAAGGACAGCTTGGCCTACAGAGGGAGTTCCAGAACAAAGATGTACAGAGAAACCCTGTCTCTAAAAGCCAAAAATTAAAAATAAAATTTAAAAAAAATAGAGTTTAAAATAAAGCCACATGAAGATGGAAAACACACAGAGAGTCTGGATACTGTATGTTATTATGTTCTCTTTGAATTGTTTGAATGCTGAGGAAGGTGCAACAGCTGCTAAAAGATTTGTTTATAAATGCTACTGAATTAATCCAAGATAAGTATTTTGAAAATACCTTGACTTCAAAATTTGGGTCTAGTATATGCTTTGGAAAAGAGGTTCTGCTTTTGTTTCCACAGGGGATCAAAAGCTAAGGATTCCTTACCGGCTAATATAGTTTACCAAACAAGACTTTCTGGAGCAATGGCCCAGATGGTCCAACATCCATGACAGCTTCAGAACTACTGGCTGAGATGCACCTACCCACACAGGATACCCCATAAAAGACCTGATTAACAGCATCCCCAATCAGCAGGAAGTAGTCTGGAGAAGAATGCCCAAATTCTCTAAATGTTTACAAATGTTTGTTTAAATTAAAAGTGGAAAATGTTATAGAGATGAATACTTTGTATTGTTATGGATCTTAGTTTATTGACACAAATTTAAGATAAATTTTGTTATATGTATATCTCTGCTCTTCATTATGGTATTGTTTGTAGAGCTCATTTAAAATGTAATGTGTAAAATGTGTGGGGAATCCAGCCCATGGTTCCATCCAGGAGGACCCAAATTGAAGAGCCAAATCCCAAACAAACCAGTAGAAGGAAGACCATGAACAGCACCACCGTTTGGGGGCTCCATCCTGGTCAAGCATGCAATGAAATTCTCAGAATTTGTTTCTTAAGAGAACAACATCAGCCAACCAGAACTGAGTGGCAAACTCTGCAGGCACTGTGGGTCGATCCTTCACAAGCAGAGAATGCACCTGAACTCCACACAAGACAAAGAGCTGTGGACTGACAGGGATGCCCAGTGTGGGTGCTGGGAACTGAACTTGTGTCCTCCACAAGAGCAGTGTGTGCTGCTAACCTCTGAGCCATCTCTTCAGCCCCCACATCATATATCTTAACTCTATAGTATAGTCTTAAAAATAATAGAATTTTAAGATTTTGCTGTTTTTTATTAAAATGTATTTATTTAAAAAATGTAATGTGTACTTAATAAATCTAGGTTAATAGACAATTATCTATAATAGTCAAGTGTGTTATCATGTTAGTTAAGTTTTCTGGATGTACAAAGATATACTTCAGGTAGCTAGGTATTCTTCAAACCTTTCAAAGATGAAAAGAATATGGCATTTAAAAGGTTTTAATAACTTAGGACTTTTCATGACAATAAGATACATCTGCTCCTGGAAGCACCAATCTACTTCAAGAGGATGATGGGCATCATGGTGGCTCCTTATGGAGTTGGTTAGCCATTTGGGCAAGAAACTGTTCTTGATTGGACTGCTTGATAATATGTTGTATGAACTGGACATGCAGGACCCACAGAAATGACTGCTGAACTTGCCTAAAGGTGAGATGGTCCTTCGGGGTTCCTGCATCACCATTCCTGACATCAAGCTCTATTATAGAGCTACAGTAATGAAAACAGCTTGGTATTGTCACAAAAACAGATAGGTACACTAATGGAATTGAATCAAAGGCCCCAATATTAATCCACACAGCAATGAACACCTGATTTTTGACAAAGAAGCTAAAATTATACAATAGGAAAAAAAGCATCTTCAATGAATGGGGGTGGCATAACTGGATATCAACATGGAGAAGAATGAAAATAGACCCGTATCTATCACCATGCACAAAACTCAAGTCCAAATAGATCAAAGACCTCAACATAAAGCCAGCCACACAGAACCTCATAGAAAAAAAAAAGTGAGAAGTAGCCCTGAACACATTGGCACAGGAGACCACTTACTAAATATATCACCAGGAGAACAATCACTGAGAGAAACAATTAATAAACGGGACCACCTAAAACTGGAAAGCCTTTGTAAATCAAAGTACACAGTCAAAATGGCAGACTACAGAATGAAAAGAGATCTTTACCAACCCCACATCTGACAGAGTACTGATCTCTAAAATATTCAAAGAACTCAATAAACTAGATACCAAAAAAACAAATGCTCCAATTTGAAAAATGGAGTACAGATCTAAACAGAAAACTTTCAACAGAGAAACATCAAATGGACAAAAGACACTTAAAAAATACTTAGCATCCTTAGTCATCAGAGAAATCAAAATAACTCTGAGATACCATCTTACACCTGTCAGAATGGCTAGATCAAAAACACTGATGACAGCTTATGCTGGAGAGGATGTGGAACAAAGGGAACATTCCTCCATTGCTGGTGTACAGCCACTTTGGAAATCAATGCATCAGTTTCTCAGAAAACTGAGACTCAGCCTACCTCAAGACCCAGAAATACACTCTTGGACATATACCCAAGGATACACACTCATACCACAAGGACAGTTCCTCAACTATGTTCATAGCAGCACTATTTGCAATAGACAGAGCCTGGAAGCAAACTAGATGCCCCTCCCCTGAAGAATGGATAAGGAAAATGTGGTACATTTCCACGATGGAGTAGTACTTAGTGGCAAAATAGCAATGACGTCTTGAAATTTGCATGCAAACTGATGAAACTAGAAAAAAAAAAACATCCTGAGTAAGATAACCTAGACCAAGAAATACAAACATCAACTCATCCGTAAGTGGATATTAGACATTAAGCAAAAGATAACCAGCCTATAATCTATGACCCCAGAAAAGCTAGGTAACAAGAACAATAAGAAAAGCATACATGGATCCCCAGGGAAGGGGAAGCAAACAAGTAAGCCTGGGAAAATAGGGAGTATGGAGGGGGAGGAAGAACAAAAGCAGAGGGGGAGGAGAGAAGAGATAGGAGAGAGAAGAATATGAGGAATAAGATGGCTGAGATGGAGGAAGGACAAAGAGGGAGATCAAGAAAAGAGATATCTTGATCGAAGGAACTATTATGGGGCTAGCAAGGAACCTGGCACTAGGGAAATTCCCAGGAATCCAAAGAATGACCCCAGCTAAGACCTTAAGCAATAGCAGAGAAGGTACCTGAAGTAGCCTTTGCCTATAGTCAGATTGATAACTGCTTTGTCATCATAGAACATTCATCCAGAAACTGATGGAAACAGATGCAGAGATCCACAGCTAGCAATGGGCCAGACTCCTAGAGTCTAGTCAAAGAGAGGACCTTACCTAGTGGGAGCTCAGTGACTCCAGATTGACAGCAGAGGAATCTGCCTAGGCCCAAACTAGGCCCTCTCAATGGGGGTGACAGTTGTATGACTGGAGCATTATGTAGGACACAGGCAGCGGGACCAGGATTTACCCCTAGTGCTTGAACTGGCATCCAGGAGTACATTCTCTGCAGAGGGATACCTTGCTTGGCCTAGATCTATGGGGATAGCCTTGGTCCTGCCTGAAAGTAATGTACAAGACTTTGTTGACTCCACATGGGAAGCCTTGCCCTCTCTGAGCAGTGAATGAGGGTGGAGTGGGGTAGCAGGAGGAAGGGAGGGAGAGGGAATTTGGACTGGTATGTAAAATGAGAAAAAATTGTTTAAAAATAAAATAATAACAAAAAAATTCTATTGCACACTACAATACAGATGAGCCTGAGGATGTTATGCTGAAGAAAGAGAATCTACAGAATCCTGAGAATTTAGATGCAGGTGACGTGATGGGTTATGTTCAACTTGCTCCCATATCTGAGAATAAGTTCAACAGCATGACAAAATGCATATAGCCCCATATGATTTATATATCTCACATACACCCAGATCGAAGAGGATTTTGATGGTCTACTGCTGCTTAATAAAAGTCAGTGAGGGGGGCTGGAGAGATGGCTCAGTGGTTAAGAGCATTGTCTGCTCTTCCAGAGGTCCTGAGTTCAATTCCCGGCAACCACATGGTGGCTCACAGCCATCTGTAAAGAGGTCTGGTGCCCTCTTCTGGCCTGCAGGCATACACGCAGACAGAATATTGTATACATAATAAACAAATAAATAAAAAGTCAGTGAGACAGAAACTAAATTCATTTCTAAACAGATATTTGCCAAGCTCTTGTGCTGAAGTTTCTCAATGGTTCCTACACAGAAAAGATGCTCTTCTGACTAGAGTTGCTTAAGAGTCTAGCCAAGGATTGTGGGGCTGTGGTACAGCTAAGGCTCCCTCCCAATGTTGCTCCCACAGCACTTGCCAAGGGCCTCAGTGGAAGCTGCCAGAGCAGGGGAGCCTAGAGTGTCAGGACGCCAATGTGCATCTGTCACTTATCAAAGGAAAGAAACTTCACACATCTAAAGCCAGCCACAGCTCTGCAGACCAGACAACACAGATGGCGCCTCTGGACCATCCCCCAGTCACCACGTGGAAATGAAAGTCAAATACAATCAGCTTTTATTAACATATTTACAGTGTACAAAAGGATTATTCTAATTGTCTAATCAAAATGGGGGTTTTAATTTTGACATAGTAAAATTATACACAACAAAACAATTATTTAGTAGGCATAACAGTAACAATATCATTTGAGATTCAAAAATAATCAAATCCAGGTTCCAGACTAAGCTGCTTCTAAAAGGAAGAAAAAGTAAATAACATACCTGGCCCCCATCCCACAGGTGCAAGAACGGTCTCAGCTGCTTCAGACTCCCCTCTGCTTCCCTGCCTCTGCTCCTCTGCTGCTCTCTCTGGGAATCCACCACACACACACTGCTGAGAGCATCACAGGCTGCAGCAGAAAGGAAACTGAAAGTAAAGGCATCAGAGCCCTGTTATCTGAGCCAAGATGCTGGAGGACAGCAGGAAAGCCAATCAGATACTCTGCTGGCTGAGGGACCTCCCACTGTGGAGAGCATTTACTTCTCTTTCCTGAAATCTCTCTCCAGGGTCCTCCCCACAGAAGAAACAGAAACTAAAGGAAGTTGCATAATCGGAGACTGTTACAAACATGTTTCTCCCAGTGGAAATTCCCCCAGCTTCCTTGGTGAAGAGCTCTGATGCTTTTAATGTGTGTTCTTAAACAGAAACCATTCATCTAAAAATCGTCTTTAAAAGAAGCAACTAGGAAATAATGAGTAGGATCAGTCAGAGAGCTCAGGGGGAGTGCTCTAAAGGCTCCAACTGCACCAGCCTGGTGACCCAGCTCCATCTCTGGAACCCACACAAAGGTGGGGGAAAGAAGTGTGTTGTAGAATACTATTTTAAGGTGTGTTACTTTTGTTTATGCTCTGGAACATTTGTTGAATGATGCAAAGATGTGTTTGATTAAGTAAAATTCACCTGCAGTCAGGAGGTTGCATCAGCAGCTAGCTGGCCAGAAGTTGCAGGGAGGAGCCAGGTGGGGAAGGGTTTATAAGGAGGGCCAAGGAGAAGCAGAGAACTTCTTGGGGGATGCCAGGAGGTAAGCTAGGTGAGCTGCTAGCTCTTCAGCTTCCTAGGGAAGCAGGATTTCACTTCAACCTTTGAATCTTGAGTTCTTTAGAGAGACAGAGATTTAGATAAGTTCCTTTTATAACTTTGAAAGAGTCGGTGCCTGAGGGAACGTAATTTCCTTAGGCTGCAGTTGTGCCCTAACCTCTGCTGGTAGCTACAGAGATGAGAGATGCTGACTTGGTTAGCTGTGGCTTAAGAGGCAGCAAAAATTGAAAAAGCTAACAACAGAACTGACTCCACAAACTTGCCTCTCACCTCCACATGGGTGTCCTGGCCTGTGCACACACAATAATAAGCACATTTTGACAAAAAAGAAAAAGAAAGAAAGAGAAACAGAGAAAGAGAGAGAGGCAGAGAGAGAGAGAGAGAGAGAGAGAGAGAGAGAAGAGAAGAGAAGAGAAGAGAAGAGAAGAGAAGAGAAGAGAAGAGAAGAGGTAAAGCCAAAATAAATACCCTTAACTGCAGTGTATGGAAATGTTCGCTGTTGCCCTTTGTCTTAATTCTCCAGCTTCCCCAGGACACAGACTCTGCCCATTTAGACAGAAATGTTGCTAGTTGTCAGAGGAGAAAGCTATTTAGTGTGGGTTTGTGGAGTAAAAAATGAGCTGAGTGCATAGTAGGAGGAGGCAGGTGGAGTTGGGGAAGCCCCGGGACATCACACTGTGTAGGGAGAACATCCCTGTCCCTCTGCTTCTCCATGAGTCCTCTCCTCACCTGTGCAAACTCTTCCTACAAAAGGTGAAACAGCCCTCTAAGCTACCTTGCAGATACACAGCTAGCGAGTCCGTGTATCACAGGAAAATAAACGGGGGTAACTCCTGCCTACAACATTGTATTTTTGGAGCAGACTCACCTTCCTTTCTACCCTTGGTATCTGTTTATGTGATGCTATAATATGTAGAGAGTTGTCACTATCCCAGGAATCATTATCTTGCAGGTTACCCATTAATTCAAATACAGGGCTCTATGTTTGTGGCTATTTAAGGAATAATGTACAAAACCTTTCTTTCCTTAAAGCAAAATTATTGAGAGAGAGAGAGAGAGAGAGAGAGAGAGAGAGAGAGAGAGAGAGAGAGAGAATATTTCTTCCTCCTATTTGATTTTATCCATGTGAATTCTTGCTGGGTACCTGAGCTATCCACTCCCACATCTGCACAACTCATAATCAAACTCTCAATAACATAGAGCTGTTCAAAACACGAAGAGAAGCAGAAGGTTTATATGGTGACAGAATTGGACATAAGACACCTGCCCTGGTCTGCAGGACCCTTTAAAGCAACAAGAAAGCTAGACGTTAGTGTGTGGTATGGGACTTCAGCTAACTTGGGTGAGGTAGGCAAAGGTGAAATTTGGAAACACAGATTTTGAGCAGATATTTTGCCAGCATTTTCTAGATGTAGCCTGTCCACTCTAAAGAGAGATTAGAAAACAGCAGTATCACAGGCCAGTACCAAAGAGGAAGCACTTGCACACACCGCCATCGTGTGGTCACTCAAGATGACCATCTTTTCACAATCCACAAATGATTGGACTTTCCTGTTAAAAATTTTATTAAGATCAAGATGGAATTTATAGAAATCCACATATCACAAAGTATATAACTCATATAAATATGAATTATATAATGAAGTAAATGTTATAACCAATTATAAAAAGCTACTTATACAAACAAATCACCTGTACACAGTGTTAACATTGCCTGTGTTTTTCCTGACAGCTATGTCGGCCACAATATTCTTTAAAGGCTAACTGAGAAAATAGAAAGGGATTAAGGCCTTTAACTCCAATGGAAGAATATATTTTTAATTGGATTTTCCATTTAAAGTATACCTGAAGCAGAAAGCTCTGAGAAGTCATGTACAAGCCAAAGATGGTGGCATGTTCTATACCCTGGTCAGCCAGTCTACCTGGAACAGCAAGCTCTGAGTTCTGAAAGAGACTCAAGCCTATGGGGAAGAGAGGTGGAGAACAGTCAACATTGACTTCCAAACAAAAACAGAAGACAGGCACCTGTATACACATCCATATTTCTACCAAAATCAGATATCCAACAAGGAGGCCTACTCTCTCCACTTTTGCTCAGAATAGTGATCAAAGTCTTACTTAGAGTAATAATGTGCAAGATGTCAGGATAATCTTTTTGTACACTGTATGAAGATGTCCCTTCCTTACCTTAGGACACCATTTGATTGGTTTAATAAAGAGTTTAATGACTAATAACTAGTCAAGATGGGATAGTTGGGACTGCCGGGCAGAGACAGGAACTCTGAGAAAGAATTGGAGGTGCAGGAGATTCGCCAAACAGACACAGAGGGTATACAGTATTGAGGAAAGGTAACAATCCACATGGCAGAACATAGATTAATATAAACTAGTTAATTTAAGTTTTCAGGCTAGTTGCCTAAACTAAGGTCAAGCTTTTGAAATTAAAAAAATGTCTCTGTGTCATAATTCAGGAGTTTGCAGTCCAAAGAAAGACCCATTATAATGAGAAATAAGGGAAATACAAGTAAGTGAGGACAAAAGTCCAATTGTCACTGTTTGAAGGCCATATGATTCTATACATAATTAGAGTACTACTCAGCAGTAAAAAACAAGGACTTCTTGAAGTTTGCAGGCAAATGGATGGAAATAGAAAACCTTATCCTGAGTGAGGTAAGCCAGACCCAAAAAGAGGAACATGGGATGTACTCACTCATATTTGGTTTCTAGCCATAAATAAAGGACATTGAGCCTATAATTCGGGTTCTTAGAGAAGCTAAATAAGAAGGAGAACCCAAAGAAAAACATATAGCCATCCTCCTGAATATTAACCTTCATCAGGCGATGAAAGGAGACAGAGACAGAGACCCACATTGGAGCACCGGACTGAAATCTCAAGGTCCAAATCAGGAGCACAAGGAGAGAGCACGAGCAAGGAACTCAGGACCGCGAGGGGTGCACCCACACACTGAGACAATGGGGATGTTCTATCGGGAACTCACCAAGGCCAGCTGGCCTGGGTCTGAAAAAGCCTGGGTTAAAACCGGTCTCGCTGAACATAGCAGACAATGAGAACTACTGAGACCCCAAGAACAATGGCAATGGGTTTTTGATCCTACTGCACGTACTGGTTTTGTGGGAGCCTAGGCAGTTTGGATTGCTTTTTGGGCTGACGAGGGAGGGGGACTTGATCGGGGGAGGGGGAGGGAAAGGGGAGGCCGACAGAAATCTTTAATAAAAAAAAAACAGAGGAGAGGATTCAATAATTTCTGTAGTTTTATGATTTTTTATGAAAAAAAAAAGCTTAGTAGGTAAAAGCAAGTCAAGCAGGTGGGGGTGGGAGACTTTCTGGGCTGTGGACCGGTTAGGTCTTTAAGCTGGTCCACCCAGTAGGTATGGAGTTCAGATCCATGTGGGTGCCAGATGAAGAAGGATGCTAAAAAGAAATCCCACACTAGCTCAGACTTGAGTATAATAGTATTATTTAGGAATAGACTCACAGATCACAGTCCTCCACTCAAACGGGGAACAGCAACTGAATCCTGCAGCTGGAAGAGAGCGAGACTGCGTGCTTTACATCAGCATTTATAGTATAAGAGGCCATGCCTAAGTGAGCAAGTAACTAAAGGCTACTGGCTATAGGAATTCCTACAGCATTTGTTAGCTGAGTCATTTGGACCCAGTGGCTTGATCGCTTTCTATAAAGTATTCCATTTCTTCCCATCTTATGTTTTCTATGCTGTTCAATAAAGACAGCAAACTCTTTGTTAGGGACATACACGCACAACCACACAGACACACAGAGCTAATACAACAGTCACAGAGACAGGCGAGCACACACAGAGACAGACACAGGGACAAAACAAACTCACAAGACAGCCTTCAGGCAGGAACAACTTCAGATTCACAAAACAGACATCTGGAGAAGAGATAGCATAGCCAGGAAACTCTCTGAGACATTTTTAATTCATTCTGCATGCAGTTAGAATTACAAAAAAAAAAAAAAAACAGGTTAACATAAGTCATTTTCCTACACAAAGGTTTTGCTTCTTGTTGTGGGTAGGATACAATTCTTATTGTGTCTACAAGATCCTACTTAGCCTGGCTCCTGCAAGTCCATCTTGTTGTCTCACTTTATCTCTCCTTCAACACTTGAGCTTTCAGCAGTAAAAAAAACTCTCAAACTTTCCTCCAAACCAAAGTGACACATGGAGAAATTGGTAAAAGTGAGTGCCACCAAGCCCAACAACCTGAGTTCTATCCCCAGAACCCACACAGTGGCAGGAAAGAACCAGCCCCCACAAGTTTCTCTCAGTCCTCTGTGTTTGTGGAGGACAATAAACAAATAA